TGTTGATGGCTGCCGACTGATCAGGGTGGTGGTTGCTGAAGGTTGGGGTGGCTGTCGCGATTTCTTAAAATAAGACAACAGTAAAGGTTGCTGCATCGGTTGAATCTTCCTTTCATGAATGATTTTTCTATAGCATGTGATGCTGTTTGCTGGCATTTTACCCACAGTAGAACTGCTCTCAAAATTGGAGTCAATCCTCTCAAACCCACCGCTGCTTTATCAACTGAGTTTATGTAACATTCTAAATCCTATGCTGTCATTTCAACAGTCTTCACAGCATCTTCACCAGAAGTGGATTTCATCTCAAGAAACCACTTTCTTTGCTCACTTATAAGAAGCAACTCCTCATCTGTTTAAATTTTATCCTGAGATTCAGCAATTCAGCCACGTCTTCAGGCCCCACTTCTCGTTCTAGTTCTCTTGCTGTATCCGCCACATCTGCAGTTACTTCCTCCACTGAAGTCTTGAACCTCTCGAAGTCATTCATAAGGGTTGGAATCAACTTCTTCCAAACTCCTGTTAATGTTGACATTTTGACCTCTTCCCATCAATCACAAATGTTCTTAATGGTATCTAGAATGGTGAATCCTTTCGTCTCCTTTGAAGCTTTGAAGCCAGGCATTGACCTCTCCTCTTTAGTTATGAAAGTCCTAGATGGCATCTTCTTCCCATAGAAGGCTGTTTCATCTACGTTGAAAATCTGTTGTTTAGTGTAGCCAGCTTCATTAATTATCTTAGATCTTCTGGATAACTTGCTGTAGCTTCTACGTCAGAACTTGCTGCTTCACCTTGTACTTTTGTGTTACAAAGATGGTGTCTTTACTTAAACCTCATGAAGCAGCCTCTGCCAGCTTCAAACTTTTCTTCTGCAGCTTCCTCACCTCCCTCAGCCTTCACAGAATTGAAGAGAGTTAGGACCTTGCTCTGGATTATTAGTCTTTGGCTTAAGGGAGTGTTGTGGCTAGTTTGACGTTCTATCCAGACCATTAAAACTTTCTCCATATCAGCAATAAGGCTATTTGGCTCTTTTTTCTTTTATTTCTTTTTTTTTTTTGCAGAGGAAGATTCACCCTAAGCTAACATCTGTTGCCAATCTTCCTCTTTTTTTCTTTCTTTCCCACCCACCCAAAGCCCCAGTACATAGTTGTGTATAGTTGTAAGTTCTTCTACTTCTTCTATGTGATCCTCTGCCACAGTATGGCTACTTACAGACAAGTGGTGTGTTACCAGACCTGGGAACCAAACCCGGGCCGCCAAAGTGAAGTACGCCAAACTTTAGCCTCAAGGCCATCAGGGCTGGTTCTGTTTGGCTTTCTTATCATTTGAGTATTCACTGGAGTAGGACTTTTGATTTCCTTCAAGAACTTTGCCTTTGCATTCACAACTTGGCTAATCCTTTGGCTCAAGAGGCCTAGCTTTCAGCTTATCTGGGCTTTCTAAATGCCTTCCTCACTAAGCTTATGATTTTGATTTAAAGCGAGAGACATGCAACTAGTTCTTTCATATGAACACTTAGAGACCATTGTAGGGTTATTACTTGGTCTAATTTCAATATTGTTGTGTCTCAGGGAATAAGGAGGCGCAAGGAGAGGGAGAGAGACAGGGAATGGCCAGTCAGTGGATCAGTCAGAACACACACAACATTTATCCATTGTTTGCTGTCTTATATGGGCACAGTTTGTGATGCCCCAAAACAATTACAGTAGTAACATCAAAGATCACAGATCACCATAACAAATATAATAATAATGAAAAAGTTTGAAATGTTGCAAGAATTACCAAGATGTGACACAGAGATATAAAGTGAGCAAATGCTGTTGGAAAAATGGCACCAACAGACTTGCTTGGTTCAGGGTTAACATGAACCTTAATTTTTGAGAAGACCGCGCAATATCTGTGAAGTACAATAAAGTGAAGCACAATAAAATGAGGTTATGCCTGTATACCAGACATCACTACCTTTGTAAGGTACAAATCAAACATCTGGTGGCACTTTAATATTTCCAATTTTGCTTGTTTCATTGACACATTCTCAACTGCCATAATTTCAGAGATGTTTATTACATTAATTTTTAAAAATTTAGAAAAAATATCAACTATGGAATGTTTAGGACATAGAGGTTTCTGCTTGATATTAGTTTTACTTTCCAATTAGCTGAAGAATTAGCACATTTTCTTTTTTTTTTTTTTACCAACTTTTTGTTCTGGAAATTTTTCTAAAGTCTATTTTAAAAGCTAGGAAAGTTTTAGTATCTAAATATTTAATACATTACATTCTTGAATCTCTCTTTGAGTAAACATACTATTGTCAAATTCTGAAGACTTTTTTTATTTGGCTATATTGTGTTTATAAAAAGAGTTGATAATTAGACCTTTGACTCTAGGACAGAGGCTGGGAAATCTCTCTCTCTTTTTTAATCCAAATATCTAATACAGCACTCCCCCCTTTCCTGCGGTTTTACTTTCTGCGGTTTCAGCTACCCGCTGTCAACCAAGATCTGAAAATATTAAGTGGAAATTCCAGAAATAAATGATTCTTAAGTTTTAAATTGCACACCATTCTGAGTTGCATGATGAAATCTCGCGCCATCCTGCTTCTTCCCTCCTGGTATGTGAATCATCCCTTTGTCCAGCATATCCATGCTGCACACATTACCTGCCCATTAGTCACTTAGTAGCCATTTCAGTTATCAGATTGTCTGTTGTGGTATCACAGTGCTTCTGTTCAGATTACCCTTATTTTACTTAATAATGGCCCCAAAGTGCAAGAGTGGTGATGCTGGCAATTCAGATATGCCAAAAAGAAGCCATAAAGTGCTTCCTTTAATGGAAGAGAACATAGCATGTATAGTGTTCAGTACTATCCACAGTTTCAGGCATCCACCGGGGGTCTTGGAATGTATCCCAAGATAAGAGGGGACTACTGTATCAGTTTATTTTCATATGCTTTTCCATTTTCCTTTAAGTTAGAAAGGAAAAATAATATTCTGGTTTTATGATGGGTTCTTTCTTCAAAAATATTCTGGTTAACGTAGGTTGGGGCAAAATTTTTTATAGTGTCTCTTTTATACCCTCCCCTGATAATGTTATTTTTTGTTCTATTAATGTATAGATACTGTAGATCAGATTACATAGGCTGCACCAAGCCACTCATCTCAGACACTCAAACATTAATCTCACTAATTGTTAGCATCTAATGGACATGAAGGCATGTGTTAGGATGTAAGACAATTTGATCACTGGGTGATAGGAAGAGTTCAGAAAGAAACAGCCCCAGTATTGTTCAGACTATAATTATTCAGCAATTGATATTCCCAGAGAGAATTTTTCTGTTCATGTTTTCATGACCAAACTTGGAGGAAAAACTAGAAATAAGGAGAATGTCATCAGAGGGTCAAATACATGGAGAATGAAGGTGAAGGGAGCAGTATGTCTTAAACTGGACGGGAGAGTGGAGAAACTGAGACAAGTAGATGCTGTGGTAAAATTGCAGAACTATTTAAATAATTAGGGTGTGATTTAATCCTTTAGAGAGATGTGGGAAGAGATGATTTGGTAAGCAATAAAGATGCAACAGGGACTGAATGTGAAGCCTGAAATCAGACTTAAAGTCAGAAGGGAAATTGGGAGGGTGGGTAATACTTTTACTTTCATACATTCCAAGTTAAATGCTAGAGTGATGCATCTAAGCTAAGAGATGGTTGGTTATAAAAGAGATGATGGAGAATAACAAGGTGGGAGGTGGCCCTGACCTCAAGCAGCAAAGAGCCGCAACACGTCCTGAGTCACGGCTGTTACTCTGGGCACCTATGTTTAATTTGAAGGCCTCCATCCCTCTCACATTATGAGACCTAATGAGATCATGGCTGGAGGTGGTATGACTGAACTTTTTGTGGCTGAGTTATACACATTTCTGTTTTATCCCCTAATCTTGGTGATGAAATCACTGTTGTGAATTGAATCAGAGTTTCACTATGGCCGGCATGCAAGTTATTATTCTCAGTACACATTTTCCTCTTTACCAAAAATGGTACTAACAACTTGGGATCATGTTCATCTGTGGAAAACAAAATGGAAAGACTATGAAAATCACTTTAAATCTCCTCTGGAAAATGACTTAGAAAAAAAATGTTAATGTTAGATTTTCAGGATTAAATTATCATTCTTCAAATGAATTTTAGGTTGAAAATTTTTAGATTTTGAACATATTTTAAGTTTGAGAAACTGGTTAATTACAATATTTCTAAATGCTTGTTTCCGTCTATAAGTAACAATAATACAAGTGATAATGAATAAAGCCACTATGGCTTATTTGACTAAGTACAGGCTCAAATTTAGGTTATTAGTACTCTGACTTCACTAGGTACTATCTTCCCCATACAAAACTGGCACAATGAGCTAAGCTCATGGAAATAGTGCAAAATGTGTTCTTAAGCTTTCATACTCTTCTCTCTGGGTAGTCTCCCACCCAAGGGCATGAGCATATCCATCCAGGATAGTTACATGATTTATGATCATGGATTAAAGAAAATGTCTTCTCACCTCATGCTCAGAACCCAGATTCTACTATTTAGCTGTGTTAAAAATGAAATTTAGGGCTGGTCCCATGGCTGAGCGGTTGGGTTCCTGCGCTCAGCTTCGGCAGCCTGGTGTTCGCCAGTTTGGATCCTGGGTGTGGACCTGGCATGGCTCATCAAGCCATGCTGAGGTGGCATCCCACATAGCACAACTGGAAGGACCTGCAACTAGAATATACAACTATGTACTGGGGGGGCTTTGGGAATAAGAAGAAGGGGAAAAAAAAAGATTGGCAACAGATATTAGCTCAGGGGCCAATCTTTAAAAAAATAAGAAAGAAATTTAGTGGAAACAGCAATTGATGGGTATCTAGTCCTAGTTCCATCATTGCTCTTTTCATGATTTTGGAGAACCATTTTCCTACCACTGGTCTTATTTTCTTCTTCTATAAAACAAAGCACAGTGCCTTTAATATAGTAAGTATTCAGCATATATTTATTAAATTAAATACAATAATGTGTCAGTCAGGACTCAGGTTGGAAATAACTTCAACTTCAGCTAGCTTCTGCACAGAAGAGGATTTACTGGTTTACATGACAAAGCTGAGGGAAGGATAAGAATGGACCTAGCTTGAGGAATGGCTAGAAATCAAGGATTCAAACACTCTCAGGACTCTATCTCCTGTGAATTCTTTCAAATCAGCTAATTCCACTTGACAGGAAACATGACCACCCACAGCTCTTATATCTTTATACATCTTTGTGACCAGAAAGGAAAGGGTCCCTTTTGCTCTAGTCAAGATGTAAAAATTCTAAAGCCAAATTCTCATTGGTCTGATTTGGATCATGAGTCACATCCCTTGGACCAATTAATGTGCCTAAGAGAGTGAGTCCTGCAGAAGTAGTACACACACCAAAACCCCCTGAAATTATATATGTGTATATAAATATGAAAGTTCATTGATGACCTTAGGAAAAAAGAGTAGTATACCTAGAAATGTGAGACATGTTCATTTTGTTAAAACATCTCAGTTTTTTCTCACATTAGCTGTGTAGAAGCTATTTTTAGCAGTAAAAGGGTCAAAGCAAGGGAACTCCATGTTTTCACAGAGGTGGCTCGGGGCTCTGCTCTTGGTGCAGGTTTTTAAAGACTCCCACATCTTCAAGATGGATACCTGGTCTTCTCTCCCCCTGTAAGGACAGTAAAGGTATTCTATCTTCTGCAAAGCCTAATGTTCATTTCTGAGAATCAGAAAACAAATCTCTAGCTTTTTTCTACTCCTTTAGCAGAAAATCCTTGATTGTGCGAGACTCTGCTCAATGTAATAATAATACAGCTACTGTTTCTTGTTTGTTGTATCCCAGACACAATGTTAGAAGCTTTCAGTGGTGTGCTGAAGCCAGCTAGTACTGGCTCCTGAGACCGTATTAATAGCACATCTTCTCTTGTTCATAGTCAGTATGTTTAGGTGGTGGCTTGAAATTGGTGATGGTGAGGTATTTATACCACAAAAATTGGCAAATACAACAAATTAGGACTCCCTGCCTCCCATGAAGAGCCAGTTGTTAAACATTTAACAGCTTCATATATATTACCTTACTTAATCCTCCTGACAATCTTATGATTGATATTGTTATCCTCATTTTAGAAATTAATAAAAAAGAAGGAGAAAAATCAGAGGTTTAAAAACACATAGTGCATTACTTGTTGAAACCTGGGTTCTGCCTGCTCCAAAGCCCATGCACTATACTTTAGGCTGTAACTGACGGTGAGTTATCTTTTCCTTAGCAGTTCTCCCATCTGTCATTTGTCACGTCAACCAACACTGACCTGTCAGCCCTTCTAGGAAAAGGATGTAGTCCATTGATGAAAGTGCCTTCACTCAGCTGAAAATCTCTGGCTGCACTGAGGAAATGCTTGTCTGTGTTTCTTCCACTTCTTGCTGCAGGTGGTTCATTGGGGATTGGTTGGAGTGTAGCAAGACTTGTGATGGTGGAATGCGCACAAGGGCAGTGCTCTGCATCAGGAAGATCGGACCTTCTGAGGAGGAGACACTGGACTACAGTGGTTGTTTAACACACCGGCCTATTGAAAAAGAGCCCTGCAATAACCAGTCATGTCCACCTCAGTGGGTGGCTTTGGACTGGTCAGAAGTAAGGAAATCTGAGGCTGTATGTTTTGAGATGTCTTAACTATCAATACCAAAGCATTTAATATTAAGGACACCTGAGCGTGTGAGCGTCTTAGAACTCAACAAGTAAGGACTGCATAACAGTGAATTTAGCCATGTTATATTTTATTGCTGCTTGTCAGGAAGTAGAGTTTTTTGGGTCAGAGCAATCAATGAGAAACTAGTCATCAATTTGATACAAATAAGCCTAAAGTGAATTTGAAAGATTGTTATAGTGAGTGCTCATATAAGTGGTTTTTCTTTCTTTACTATTCTTAAACAGCATCACAGGCTCAGAATTAGTGATATGTTGTATCTTTTTTCCAAGTAATGTTCCAGCCTAACTGCAGAACTCTGAGATATGAATCTTTATGAATTTATTATCACTTTTTATATGTCTCTCTATATGTTTTAATTGCTTCTTTTGCATCTGGAGAAGAAACATGGAGTTGAGGGTTATAATATACCAAAAAGTCACATTCAGATTTTATCGTTACTTCCACTTACATGATTAGTGAGGAAGAGTTGACTAAGATAATGTTTTTCTGGCATACATGTATATAAAAGAGCCTAAAATAATCCAAAGGCCTCAGAAAAATGGTCTTATGAAAAAAGAAGTAAGAGGTGGAGTTAATTCTTGACTCCTTATTCTGCATGAGACATACACATATACACACTGTACCATTCTCCACATTTCCCAAAGAAGAGCTGAATCCTTCTGTAGCATTGGTTAATGTTAAAAAGAACGAGTACCTGACTTTTTAACTAAAGGTCATTCTTCCTCGTTAGCAAAACAGGATGCATTTCCTGCTGGAAACATTGTGATACTTGCTTTGGGTATTTCCTGTAGACCACATAAGTTTGTCAAAAAATAAACAAAAACCAAATTAAACATTGTTCTTTAGGAACCTGTGGATGTAACTTTTCCCCCTGTGAATCTTACTGCTTGAGTGGCCTTATTTTGCTAGAGGCCCAGGGCTAAAAGAGGGACTGTGTTTAAGATGGCACATGGAAATGGAGATTCTGACCAGTCATGGTTATCCGTGGAATCTTTAGGAGGAATTGGGAGTGTTGTCCCAAGTTTCCTGGCCATACTCCAGTTTCAGTAATTACATTCTGCCTACCTAACTTTTATTTGTGTTTCAATCAAATGTAGAGATGTTCTTGATATTATTCACTCAGTGGTTATGGAAAACAATGTGAACTCTTCTGTTCCCTAACAGTGAGTGGATTAACTCCTAAATTCATTTGAAAGATAAAATCCATTGATAGAGAATAGACATTCTACAGAGTTGTACACATGTAAGTCATTATTTTACTTGCAATTCAGTGCCCAAGACTTTTATAGAAGTCCATACCTAGTCATTGACAATGATGACAAATTTGTCATTGGAAAATCATAATGGGAGACCTGATGATTGGCTGCAACAGTTTTAGGGTTTCAGGTCAAGTCAGTAGGTATGACTGGGTGCTTACTAAACACAATGAGTTAAGCAGTATGGAGAACACGAAAGAATCCTATAAGCTTAGGAAAATAAGAAATATCTGTGAAACAACTAGAGAATGATATAAGATAGTGTTTAATGAAGTGGGGCATTGTGAAGTATAAGTGTATAGAAGTGATATATAAATACAGAGCTAAGAAGGTAAGAATAGCCTGGAGTAGGATCACAGGCTTTTAGTTGATGTGAGTTGAACCATTGGAGTATAGAATATGAAGTAGGGAAGAGAATAGGGAAGGTGGAGAAGGTGCTCTTGATAAAAGAAACCACTGGACAGAAACACAAAGACCATGTGGTGAAAGTAGGATGGGGGAAAAGGATGTTTTCAAGAATAAATGGAAGATAAGATTAAATAAAGTAGTGATAAGTAATAAGAAGGCTTGAATACAGAACTTTATACCACATTATTCTTCTACAAAAAGTAGAGAAAAAAAGATAAGTTGATAAGCAGAAACTAGAAGAAATTTCTGCCGACCATGAAAACACTAAAACCTCCTCATATGTAGACTCATTTCACGTTGGTCTCCTGACTTACACTTTTCTGTATCATCATATTTTTATTTGAATATAAAACAACCAAATATAATCACCTTGAGAAACAACTTATCTATATTACTGTATGTTTCCATTCTAATTACCATTTTAAGGTTTTCTTCCTAATTCAACCTCATATGGGTTATAGTGACCCTACTTTTAGAATTTTGATTCTTATCTGTCTAGTCTTAGAAGTGACTTGCTCAAATAGCTCCACCAGGCTCTTAGGCACTCCTGGAGGCTGCCTGAAGAAATAGGAATAAGCTAAGGGGGTTTTTAATCACATTTCTGCTATCTTCTTTAAGATGGCTGAGTCAAAACTTAGGGGAAAGGAGTGCTGAGGGCATGGAGTGTTGGGACTACCACCACCGATAAAGCATTGGTAGCTGCTGTTGTCTGTCCACAGACAGTGCAGGAAAACTATTCTGAGGTAAGCACAGGCCAAGAAATGCTGCCATTACCATCTCAAAGATTCTAGTTAACACCTTCTGTACCATCATCTCCATCCTTTGTTCAGGAAGAAAGAGATGATTTTTGCCCCATACAGTCTCTCCTATTTATTTTCCAAAAGAGGGAGTGTACTCTCACACTTCCATTTCCTTGCTTTACAAGGAAGACCACTTCTTTCCTAGGTGGGTTAAAAATGACTAAAAGTAAAGAGCCTTAAGTGATAAATGTCTCAGTAGCTATGGAGAACAAAAGGAGAATAAGGAGCCTGTTCTACCCAGAGGAATGGAACACCTCCCACTAATGAAAAGAGGAGGTTCCAGCAGAAGAGCAGGCAATGTTCAATGTCTTCCAGTTAACTTTTGCAAATATTTCACATAATATTCTTTTGACACGCCCTTGAAAACTTCCCTTCTCTTTCTGCCCCCCTCCCCACTTCCAGCTATCCGCTGTCTAAGCTCTGCTAATCACAACGGTGAGGTTCAACTGGTGAAAACATGTTGCAGCAAGAGGAATGTACTCTTTGACCTTTTCCTTTTCTTTGCCGGCTGCTCTAATATAAAATTTCCATTGTTGTAAAGCCAGGAACCATTTTTCGTTTTCCCCATCAGTGAAACCCACCCAGTGCTATGGCAAAAGAGAAAAAAAAAAGCCAAATTACCTTGGTGGGAAATGGCTCTTTGGCAGCCTTTTGTGAAACTAATGAAGCCATGGCTTTCCCATTTCCTATAATCCAGCTTCACTCTTGGGATCGCCCATGCTATGTTGGACTTAAATGGTTTTCTGTTTTTGCCCTCTCTTGGCAAGTAACTCTTAAAAGCATTGCTGCATACTGTGGATTGGCTCCAGCAATCCTAAACCATTCTTTTGATGTATCGGAATAGTTTCTTTTGACTCCCACAGAATGCCCATTGAGAAAGGTCTGTTTCTTGTACTTACTCTTGGACAAGTGGATGACTGATATCATACTCAATTGACTTTATAGGACTTATATTTAGGTACCATTACTTAAGAAGGCCGGGGGGGTGGGGCACGGAATCTACCTACAAGGGACTGGGCTTTTAGAAGACAATTGTGACATCACCTTGGCTTCTCCTAGGTTCTACTTAGTACTATGATCAAGAGAATTAAACCCACCTCTCCAGAGAGAACTCAGTCTAACCTCAAAACGTTAATGTTTCTATCCTTTACAAGTGAGAGCCAAATTGTTTTCCTTGGTGTGGTTTCAAATACTTTTTTCTGCAAAATTTTTTTTTGCTTCTTAATCACAGAACGTTAAGCTAAAAGCATAAAAGCATCTCTCGTAAAAATCACCTCCTCTATCCCATTGAGATAAAAACAAAAAACAAATGGTTTGGTCAGATTTTAAATAATTGTGAGATTCTGATTATGTGAATAAAAGAGGAAAAATAGATATTTACCTGCAGGAAGGAAACAGTAAAAAATAACTTTATTAAATAATGGATTGCCCAGTGAAATAATATCTTCCATCCAGCTACCTAATGGTTTACTGTGAGAATAAATGGAATGGATTTTGATATTTGCAACTATGATTTAATCTAAAAGATGAATTTTTATTACTGAACTAAATATTGAATTTCTAATTATTACTAATGAATTTTACTGCAGAATTAACAAGTGCAAAAATATACCCGTAACAGGGGCCAGCCCCATGGCTGAGTGGTTAAGTTCACGTGCTCCACTTCAGCGGCCCAGGGTTTCACTGGTTTGGATCCTAGGCGTGTACATAGCACTACTCATCAAGCCACGCTGAGGCGGCGTCCCACATAGTACGACCAGAAAGGCCTGCAGCTAGAATCTACAACTATGTACTGGGGGGCTTTGGGGAGAAGAAGAAGAAAAAAAGAAGATTGGCAACAGATGTTAGCTCAGGTGCCAATCTTTAAAGAAAAAAAAAAAGCATATATATATATATATACCTGTTACATGGGTATAGACCAATGATTATCTGTGAAGCACTCATAATAAAGTTAAATGCCTATTAATCATGCATAATCATGGCAACATCTTGCTTCTCTAGAATTTCTTATTTTTTGAGATAGCTAAATAAAGCTGAGACTGTCAGATGGATAAACATATTTATTTATCAGAAGGCTAAAGAGAGGCAAAGATGAAATGTAGGCTAAATAAAGCGATGGGAAGAAGTAAAAATAAAAACATCTCTGCTTGAACATCTCTGACCTCAGGTCAGAAGAATTTGCAGGAGACAGTTCTACCTAGAGTGAAGCTGGTCCCTGTGCCTTTACTGTTTTTTTTCAAGCAATTTTTAAACATTTAATTTTATAATCACCCTTAAGAAGCACAATATTTGCAGAGACCAGAGTTGAGATTCTGGCTTTAGACATGTAATATTTGTGGCTAGATCTGCAGGGCTCAGGGCTGTTTTATTCATTGAGTCAGAATGTGGCAGAAATGTAGTTTTCAGTCATTCACTATTTTCAGAATCCTGTTGATTATCTCTCTACTTCTAGTGCTACAAGATAGAATATCCTTGGCTTATTTAGTGGAGTTTTGGCTGTAATTTTCTAAAATTATTTCGTGTCTCCATAGAAGATGTCATTGTATCTTCAGCGTTGCATATAACTGCACATTGTCCCACAGAGGGTTTGTGTCTTTGTACATTTGCATTTCAGAGTTTTATTCCAGTGGGAACCTGCTATCTGGATTTATCTGTGCTTCTCATTGCTTCAGTTTCCCCCCTCTAAAATGGGTGTGAAAACAGTACTTCAGGAGGTTTCCATGACGATGAGGTAGATTATGACATGCAAAGGACTTAAAACACTGCCTGATACTTAACAAGTAAATGTTAGCGTTGCTTTCTCTTTTTATTCTCCTCCCTATTATTATCAATCTGTTTTGTTTTGTTTTTGGTCTCCTGGGGACTTTTCAGACACAAATGAATGAATTGTCTGTCCTTGCATTGTCTGCCTCCCCTAATTGTAAGCAGGACTTTGGCAAAGGCTCTTAAGAAAGACTGCTACATATTACTACCGTCTTCAAATAATAGCAGAAGTTTCTTGCTACTGGAAAAAGATGTTAGAATAAGCAAGGGACATATGTCCCAGGCTTTAATATACATTTGCATGCATTTAAAATGTGAAGGGGAGAGGGGTACATATTTCGATAAATGTTCCCAATATAAAGAACTAGTCGTAGCCTAAAATACTAAAACTAAATTCTCTATACATCCTATGTGTTGCTGCCTTTCTCCCTAAAGTCAGAAGTACCCTTCTATCCTCTTGTACTTTACCTCAATTTATCTTTTGTAATAATTAATACTTCTCATGTCTTCCCATGACTTTGTTTCTCCAATGCTAAGAGCTACAGTATGGATTAGAAGGTTTAGGATTTAGTTCCAGCTCTGCCAGTTGGTATCCATTTAACCTTAGGTTGCTTAAGCTTTCCACATCTGTAACAATTCTCAAAAGTTTTTCTAAGAGTAATGTATCTGAAAGTATTTTGTGAACTGTGAAACTCTAATGGAATGTAAGGTAGCAGTGTTATTATTATCAATAATAATATTAAGCATTAAGAAAGTGACAGAAATCCTCCATGGCTGTGGCTTCTAACATTGGTGGATGGTGAAGGAAACTTGGTGTGAAGTCAAGAGGACTAGACACAAGTAGGGCAAACTCAGGAGACCTGAATCAGGGCTTTACTCATTCTACAGAATACATGATTATAAGACATAGTTGTCTGTCTTGGTTTCTTGAAATATAAAGTGATAACGTTGTTGTGAGGATTAAACGAGACAATATATGCAAAGTACATAGGGTAGTGCCTAACATCCAGGAAACACTCAATAGGAGTGAGCATTAACACTGCCGTTTAATAGCTGCATGACTTTCTACCAACCACTTATTCAAAGATTGTTTCCTCATTTTAAAAACAGAATAATAATTGCCATCTCACAGGATTTTTGTGAGGACTCTAAATTATAGCACTTAGCACAACACTCAGTATGTACAGTGTTTATTGAATGGTAGCTGCTGTTACTATTATCATTATTCATAGTAGTAGTAGTCATAGAAGCAGCCGCAGCATTAGCTTTGTGTGTGGCACTGGGCTAGCACTAGACAATACTGCAAATTAGTTAGGATGGAGAGATGAATCTGAAGAAGTAAGCAAGCCTTCCTATCCAAGTGTAGTAAGCATAAATTTAAAGAGTTTGCATTTTTATCTTGAAGACAATATTGAGCAATTAAAGGATGCTTTGTAATCAAAAGAGAATATAATTGGATTTATGCTTTAGAGAGTGGATTGGTGTGAGGTAAGAGCAAGAAATGAGAGACCTGTTAGAAAGGCATTGCAGTATTACACTGTAAGAAATGATGTTTATCTGAAGTAAAGTTAGTGGCGACAGAGAGTAATCAACAGATGTGAGAGAGATTTAGGAGTTGGATTAGTAGGACCTAGTAATTGAAAATATGGGTAGACTGAGGCAGCAGCTGGCAATAAGGATGTTGATTTGGCTGTGAAAGGAAGAACAGGGATCAGGAATTTCTCTCCTGATCTCTAAGTCCCTAACTAAAGCCTCTTCTGGAGCTATATTGGGAAGAACTGGATGTTATCCTCCTTTGAAATGCATCTTAATGAAACTTTTTCTAAGTTCTACATTCATTGTGGTGAAGAGTTTTCACGGGATCCTTGATTTTCACCTGAAAAACGTTAATATTTTTCTTTCTTTCTATGACATGTACCAGGTTCAAGGATTGCCCCTGACAAAGCCACTCAGGGGTGTGTACAGTGTTCATTAAGACATCCTGTCCCACAACTAATACGTCTTCATTTACCTAATGGTAAATGAAAGCCATCATCATTTCAGATAAAGGACAGTATGTATTTATTGAGTGCATACTCAAAGCCCTCTGCTAGATCCTGGGGGTCAGGGTGGGTGGTGTTCAAAGAAGAAACAGAAATGAAATAATTTTAAGGAGCTTATAGTCTGGTAGGGTTGAGAAGACATGTAAATACATAATTATAAATAGGCAGATGGTGATTAGTGATACAAAAATTATATATTCTGCATCCTCTTTTTTGGTACTTAACCTGTGGTCACAAGTCTGTCTCCAACATAAAACTGTGAGCTCCTTGAGGGTAGAGACCATCTTATTTATTTTATTTTATTTTATTTATTTTATTTTATTTTTTTATGCTTTATCTCCCCACATCCCCCCAGTATGTAGTTGTATATCTTAATTGCAGGTCCTTCTAGTTGTGGCATGTGGGACGCTGCCTCAACGTGGCCTGACGAGTGGTGCCATGTCCACGCACAGGATCCGAACTGGCGAAACCCTGGGCCGCCGCAGTGGAGCTCGCAAACTTAACCACTCGGCCACGGGGCGGCCCCTCTTATTTATTTTATACTCCCCTTCCCCCACTCTAGTGTAGTACCTGTAGGAAATCTGGAAATGTTTTTTGAGTGAAAGGTATAGAAACAGGGCTTCAAAATGTTGTGGATAAGGTCCTCACTTGACTGATAGGAAGTACAGACTTTAAAGAAGGGTTCAGACGTACAGGGGAGAAAGGTGGGGGACTTCAGTAGGCCACCAGACTAAACAAGTGCCTCTAGAAACAGAGCACTCCAATTAACCTGGAAGAGAGGTAAATAATAGACTTTGTAACATAGAAAGAGTCTTTTCTTCAGTATAAAGAACAGACTGGCTCAACTAAAGAGTAGTCAAATCCATTATGTTTAACTGATAGAGAAAGGTCTAGAGATTTTCTGCACAATAAACCTTCACCTGTGACCGTGCATTCTTAGCCACCACATTGTAAGAATCAGCATCTCAATCAACCCCCAGCTTGCTTCACAAAGAAAAGTTCTTGCGGTCTACTAATAACATAAGAATTCTTTTCAGAAGACTATACCCAGCAGCTAGAAAACCAAGAATTCCACATTCCAAAAATTAGCAGAATCTTGTCACAGCTGAATGTGGCCAAGGATAGGGAGGAATGGAGGAGTAAACCTACCTTCAATAAAAGAAGAAAATAAATTAGCCAAGAAAAGCAAACTTTGGATTTAGCTCTTAAAGACCTTAGGAAAAAAGATAAAAGTACTTCTGTTTAAAAACCTAAGAAATTTTCATATCTGAAAGATTTTGCCTAGAATTTAGTGTATAAGTATATTGAATACACATACATTAACTTTAAGACTTCCCTTAAATTTTCCTTTTTAAACTGTCCTTATTCATTAGCATTTGTTTTATTTCCAGTGCACTCCCAAATGCGGTCCAGGTTTCAAGCATCGGATTGTTCTGTGCAAGAGCAGTGACCTCGCTAAAACATTCCCAGCTGCACAATGTCCAGAGGAGAGCAAACCTCCTGTCCGCATCCGCTGCAGTTTGGGCCGTTGCCCTCCTCCTCGCTGGGTGACAGGAGACTGGGGCCAGGTAAGGCAGGTGGACTGTGGCTCCTGCTGAAGCAGCAGCTTGAGGCACTTGAGGCTCCTGATTGGGTCATTGTAAGGGCTCAAGAGATGAGTAACAGCACAGAAATCTAGGTCGGAGATACGTGTCTGAAATAATGCACAAACACCAGCAGCCACACAGATACACACTTAGCCATGTTTCTTCCATATCCACGCACTTCCCACTTCTACCTACTCCTTGCATCCTAAC